ACACTTAATAACTTTCTTTCTTCTTTTGTTTGATTATCATATCATATAATGTTTGAACATCCATCACCTTTGTTAGTGCTTTCAGAGGTAAAATCAAGAGTGTCATTATTATTATCTTTATAACAACAATAGCATATGAAGATATTAATCCTTAAATCTCCGGCACATGTTCTTGATGATTTATTGGTAAACATTATTTTTTTCTTTTTTCAGCCTATCAGAGCCCACTGCTGAGCAAATGCCCTTTCATCGCATGGAGAAGGTTTGAGCATTAATCACCACGCTTGCTCAAGACGGGTTGGTCAAAAAATATCAAAGTTTTGGAAGTTAATATTATTATTTAGGCAAGAACAGAACGGTACAAAAACACATTCTTTTTAAATTTATTGTTACATGAGAGTACAAAGAACAAAGAATTATTTCTAGCACTAAGACGATGACATTTAAATAATATGTTACTTAGAAGATATTTATAGTCAACCATGTTATTAATTATTTTAAACAAATATATTTGGTCTCTTAGTTGCCTACGCATAGTTAATGGGACTATTCTAGAGATATCTTTGTTATCAGATAAACCAGCTCTAAATCGCATTTTTTTTAAGAACCTATTTTGTAATCTTTCTATTTTATCTATGTAGACGTTATAATTTTGGTTCCAAACTGTGGAACAATATTCAAGTATGGACCTAACATATGCGTTATATAAAAGAATAAGGTTGGAGCAATGTGTAAATTCTTTACTCAATTAAGATGAACCCAAGCATATGATAAGCCTTAGAAGTAATATACTCGATATGACAAGTAAACGATAACTTGTGGTCTAAAAGTACACCCAGATCCCTAACCTTTGATATTCTGGCTAATAAGGTATCCTGCAGTGAGTAATTATATACTATAGGTTTCTCATTCCTTGTGAAATTTCCTCCTTTACATCGTGGTGTAGGCGTAATATCAAAATATATATGTAACTATATTATATTTATTTATTACACGACGTATTTCATATATAAAATTATATTTAATATTTATTTACGTATATTACACTCTACACAGTCACGGTACACATTTATATATTCAATATTATATGTATAAAAATTTATGTAATATTATTTATAATGAATATTTAATACACAAGCATACTCGGGCGAAACGTGTAGTATGCGGCGAAGCGAACGGGCGACGGTATGAAATCCACACTTACCCACTACTTCGTCAGATTTTAATATTCGATCGTATTAGCGAACACATTCATTCGACCTTGCGCTTCGGTACTAAATACTCGCCATCATACTTCGTGCACAGTAACAGTTAATTATCAGCTTTTCTACATCTATACTGGTGACCCCGACGTGATCTATGTGCTGGAGACGGGCTTCGATGACGCGACGAACGTCTGCTCCGATGTCTGGGTCTTTGATTGACTCTTGCGGACAGTTCGCTTACTTGCTTGGTGAGTTCCGCTATCTGTCTGGTCATGACATCGAACGCGGACTCCGACCTGTATGTTGTTGCCACCTGAGGATTGGATGGTGCGATGTCGTTAATCCGGTCAGCTAGATCCGCTAGCGCTTCTATCGGCAGAGTGGGCTGCGATGCGATGATGGTCTGCATCGAGCTGGGCAAACGGCTGGACCAGATTGTTTTCAGGAAGTCCTCAGGCACCGCAGGACCTGCTAAATGCTGCAGGTGTCTGAGGAACTGCGATGGTTTCCGGTCTCCCAACTCTTCGTGCATAAGTAACTGTTTCACTTTGTTTTCTCTGGACACCGACAGACGCTTAATTAACTCGCTTTTCAATTTGTCATATTTATTCGCCTCTGGGGGTGAAGTAATTATATCCTCGACCTCCGAAGCGTAGAGGTTGTCGAGCTGAGCGATTACGTAGTAGAATTTGGTGGTGTCTTCAGTTATTCTAGATATAGCGAACTGACCTTCAATTTGTGCGAACCATATAGCCGGCTTCTCCGGCCAAAATGGCGGGATGCGGACACCAACGCGGCAAATGTCGGACGCCTCCGGAACCGTTGAGCCACGCCCTGGTTTTCGGCACATTTTTCGTTGCGCACTTTCGTTGGTTTCCCCACTATGTTTTCCTTAACCGTCTGTCAGTGATGTCTAAATACTCTTAGTAAACATTATATGTGAAATATCCCTGAATACTTATCACATACAACTGGATTAGTCATAGTCCACTTTAAGCATATTTTGCATGAATTTGTTGAGACATTTTGAGAACTTCTGTTTTTTTCTATTGTTTTATATGTCTCTTGTGTTTTATATCTTTTCCTTTTTGTTTTTTTTTTTATGGGAAAAGGAGTCGAGTCTACCAGATGGAAGTAGTATCGTCGCCCATGGGCTTCCACAACGTAGATTTGCGGATGTGTTGCCGTCCGTCCACCCGAAAGGTGGTTACCCATAATAAAGCTTCGAAGCTCCTTCTCAAGAACATCTTTTTGTTTTATAAGAGCGAAACTCAAGGAACCGTATGCTTTGTTGGCATTTATAAGAAATCGGTTATTATCATATTGCTTCAGTTGTTCATTTGCTTCCAATTCAGAAAAACCTGGGAAGTGACGATAATTTTTCTACACATCCGAATACCTAACATTTCGCCATTGAGAATCGAAATAGCATTGTACATTTTTTAATGAGTAATAAGATGAGTTGTAAAATTTCGGGATCTTTTGATTTAGTACTAATCGCTAAGGAAAATTGGGGTCCTGGATCACAATCATTGTCTTCATATAGCTGACGACTTACATTGTCATCTATATAGGTGTTTGATAATTACGATATTCATCATTATGTTCATCATTTTCCAATCGATTGTTAAGATAATTGACCTCCTTAAACAACCTATCTAATTTCTTATCTTTGCGATGTCTTTTAGATTTATTTCGGTGACGCCGTTTAGAATTCGAAGTTTCACTTGAACTACTCATCGAACTACTACTAGAAGATGATGAGCTCGAATCATCATTTGTCATGCTTTCTTTTTCGGCATGACAATGATTTATTTATGTCTGAATTTACTGGATTTATTGTGTCACTCATTTTAATCTAGAAAGAATTTATTTTATAATGTATGAGGGTTTATAATTTTTTTTTATTACGAACGGAAAAATCTGTTTAATTAAAAAAGGCGTTTTTAACGGTATTTATATCAAAAGTGAGTATTATAATATTAAAGGATAAAACAAAGGAAAAAAGAGATAAAAATGGAACGGAAGCGAAGGCATATCTTATATATATATATAATTGGGTTTCGAATAACAGTACAGTTGTTTAATAAAAATATTACGTAAAAATCACAAAATAAAATAAAAAATATGACTACATAAACTTAGGAAAACTTTAACTTAGAAAAAAAATAGTCAATAATTTTTTGTTTAAATACATAAAATGAATCACTAAATAGGTCTAGAGTTGGTAATTTTTTGGAAATGTCATTATAAAATTTTGCTAATTGCACTACGGGAGCCTGGGATCAAAGATTAGTTTTTCTTTAGCTTAGATTAGCTCTTCTTAAATAGTCAAGGTAGTAAGGTGGCTCTATACACTCCGTAGATATATTTTGTGCTGATGGTAATAAAGACGAGTTAAACTCAAATAATGAGTAGAGACGGTAAAAAATATTCCAGTTGCCTATATCTTCAAAATTGTTATTTAATCATATAATTTTGTCATCATTTATGGTCCAACTCCTCTAAATTTCGATAAAGTAATAATCTACAGCCCGAAACTAATTTTTTAAATATTATTTGAAAATTTTTTTTTCGGCCTGTAGATAAATAGCAACAACATCTGCTCTTAAATCTCTATTATTTAATCCAACAAGGCACATAGAATATAACAATAGGGAAATATTAAAATACAAAAAAAGCTCATAGCTAACTCACAAGAATATCTTACATCTATTTTTACTTTATCTAAATTAAATTATATAAAAGAAAATAGATTCATTACCACAAAGCTAGAAAAAATTAAATAGACTAATATAAAATAAAAATATAAATTGTTAAGTGGTGTGGCATCCAAAATGGAAAACCCCACCAGTTAAAGCTGGCATAATAATATTCCAGCACTTATTTTCAGAGACCTCCATGTGACGGTGATGCTTTTAATGTTATTAGCTTGTATCGTAACTAAACAATGTAGCTGTCTTTAGCTTGATACACTGCCAAAGGTATCGACACATAAAAAAGATCAAAATGTTTTATATCATTTGTAATTCGAGGACAAATTCTCAGTAGTGTCACCACCACATTGCCTGTTGTTCCCAAATCTGGTTCTTCTGGGAATATCGTATGTTTTTCACTACCAGCATAAACCTCGAATTTGTGAGTAAACCCATATATTCTGCACAACAAGAAGAGTTTGAATCCCCACTTTTAGGGAGATATTGTTTCATATAGTGTGACATCTTCGTCGCACACATCTGTTCATCAACAGATAAACGTTGTTTCCCTGGTATGATCTGAAACCTGTTATTTAGTGCGTGTATTATGGGTCGTATTTTGAACAGCCTGTCATGTTGAGGCTGATCTTGGGGTAAACGGTTTAGATTGTCATTGAAGTGTAATATTACTGAAAATTTTTCAAAATGTTTCTGACTCATTGCAGTATTGATGGAATGAAATCCAAAACTGTGTGACCAGTATCAACTAAATTAGGATATTTTATTACACTAATATTCCTAAAAATTTATCCTCCTAAAAAAATATTCAAATCAAGTCCTTACTTGTAACAGTAATAGAGTAAGGTTTAGATAGATTTTTCTGCGTCGCATATTTGTTAGTCTCTTGTATAATTTTGTCGCGTAATTCTGCTGTAACGAAGAAGGAGAAAAATTGGTAGGGAGCGTCTATTTCTAGTAAGTCATCAGGATATTGTATATTGTTAGGAAATATCAAACTATGTATTTGGATCGGCTATGAAATTTTGTAGTCTTCAGATTATGCTACATTGGTGATTTGAGACAGAAGTATTATCTAAAATTAGGGGTGGATCGGCTTCACACATTTCTTGAAAGGAATGTTCAACAGAGGTGCATCCTCCTCTTGAACAAGGTGCTGGGGTCCCTCGCCAATCATTTCATCTTTTAGGGCTTGAAGCAACTCCAAATCACTCCTAAAATAATATTGTTCTTCCGATTACTCTAGCCCGTCTTTCAAATTATTTAAAGTACTCAAATAATTAAAGTCTCAATGTCTCTGTCTGGCACATTCCTCGACATTCTAAAAAAATATTGTAGGAACGCCGTACACGTGCACTGGGGTTGGATTTTGAAGAATGCTTGACGCAAATAAAACAGGTTCTGCTTTCAATCGCGTGAGAGTGAAGCAGGGATTCATTGGACTAACTTTCTGTATTCTTGAAGCCTTCTTTTCTTGTAGATGTTTTCTTGAGGCGTTTTCTTGAAGCGTTTTCTTGAATCTTGAGGCGTTTTCTTTTCTGAGTTCCGTGGTTGAGTACGCCGATTGAGTGACTTATATTTGGGTTACCGCGTCCCTCGCCCCCCTGTCCGTGCCTTACCCCTGCTTCACCTCCGCAACTTTACTTTATCAAGTTATTATTATTATTATTATTATTAAATAACAAATTGACTTACTATCTATACTATCGTGTTAAATATAAGTCCAATGTTCCTCGTTGTAACAGTTATTAAACTGGCTTAAGAAATTAATTGCTGATAAGGTAACTTTTTATCACAATTCTCACTTTTATTCAAATTAAGTTTAGGTTCTAATGGTGTCTCTGCAGACTTACAATCTGAAATATTGAATTTTAACAATAACTCCTCAATATAATTTTCTTGGTCTAAAGTTATAGTACCATTATTCTTTTTGTCTACAATTACTCTCATTCCTAAACAATTTTGGACACATCCTAAATCTTTAATTTTAAACTCAGATGACAAACTTTCTTTTAATAAACTATTTTCCTGTTCATTATCTGAAAATCCAAAAAAGTCATCGACATATAATGCTATAATTTATCTTTACATTGTTATCTATTTTTGTAAACAACATGGTTCAAGTTTAGATTTTTTTGTAACCTAAGGATTGTAACAATTCATCAACCCTTTGATACCATGCTCTACTTGATTGTTTTAGGCTATAAATAGCACGTTGAATGACAATATACAGGGTGACTGGTGAATTACTATCGATATTTGAGGACGTGATATTTGACGATCATATATGACGAAATAAAAATTAATATAACATAAATATTAATAAACTTCTAAGTAAAGTTAACCAAAAGTTATGTAAATAATTACGCATCGTGTGAACACCCTACAGATTAGGTATACACTGACACTCACACATACGCATGTCGTGACGTGGTGTTGTATCACCACGTCCCCGCACGCGTCCACACTTGGAACACTTGGAACGTGTCAACACTTTACTTATTTATACGGAAATTTTGTCAAAAATTAAGTGCCTATTTTTTTTACATAATTCGAATGAGAATCATGTATCGAGTATGCTCCTTAAATATTGATAGTAATTCACCAGTCACCCTGTATATTCAAATCACTTTGAAAACAAACAAAAATAATAAAAACAAAATACAATATAATAAAAACTTAAACTGTACAAAATATCTGTTTGGTGAGATTATGCTTAAATTAAATCAGTCACAAGCTACTATTTCTTAGTGTAAATGTTTTGTATAAATACTTTTATTTTGAGCCAATCTGTTTTTCTATGCAGGAGGTCTCGGTGCTTTGCTTTAAGATCCTAACATTCATGTCTTTTAGGTGGTTGTTTGATTTTTATATGATATTAAAAAAATGCACAGCACACTGTTTTTTTCTGCAATCCATGGTATCATCGTCCTCTTTTTGCCTTTCTTGATTTAATGATCAAACTCCAAGACATTTGTTTGAAGACCTAATGGTGCTGAGGTTGTGGTGAAGTTGATCGCGGTAGTCGTGACCTATCTTTCGCTCGTCCACGTGACTCGACATTATAATCTAAAATTACTTTAAAATTCTGTCAACCTTTCCATCTAATCTAATTGTTCATTTAAATCAAGTTCAATCTCATCCTGGAATTTGTCTCTGAAAATGTCTGCTTTCCAATCTTCCATAAGGATGAGCAGTTTAGATATATTGTCAGTTTGGTACACATCCGATAGCCGATAAAATTTTTTGTGTACATCATTTGTATGGCCTATAAATGTAGCTGGCTGTGTTCTATTTCATTTTCAGACTTATTGAATATTTGTGATAACGTGGCTAAATGATTCCAAAGCCTTGTAGATGACATTGATTTTGGATTTTTTGCTCCTTCGATCGAGAGAAAATTTTGATTTTCATTACTTCAACGAATATGGTTGGTTACACAGGGGTATCTTTAGTATCGAGTAGGTACTCCTCGCCTACGAATGCATTCTTTGTATGGGACACTTTCAATTAAATGGGTAATGTTTTCCTGTGGTATCTGCTCCCAGCACACTTAAAGCGTTTATGAGCTACTGTTGACTGTGAACTTCATTATAATTTTCTTTTAGGTTCTGATAACATTATTATTAAATAAAGGAGATTGGGTGAAAATAAACTACACTTGTTGTAACACAGAATCACAGAGACTGTATATATATATATTACTATGGAATGGCAAAATTTAGTAATTAGTTTAACAGGTTTCTTTTCAACTGGTCCCATAAATGTTCGATTGGGTTGAGATCGGGGCTCATTGCTGGCCATGGTAAAACAGAGATATTGGTTTCGGATTTTCGGATGCCTTCAGTGCCCTCTAGGTTAAGCGAGCCGTATGCCCACGAGCATTATCTTGCATTAGACTGTAATGGCTCGAAGGCAAGCTGGCAGTGCTCAGATGTCAGTAGTTATATATAGTGGATGGATGACCACAATAATCCAGAAAGTTGCTAACCTTATCTTGTAATTGACTGTGCCTGGAAACTTTTTGTGTAAGTTATAAAGTGTGTCATATAAAACACGCTTTCGTTGAGGCTCTCTAAAAATTTTAGTACATATATCGTCCTTGACCTTTAGCATTTCAGTCCAAATTTTTTGAGGTTTTTGGCTTTTTGAAGAAATTGCTTAAAAAAAGGTTTCGCTCCATTTAGTAATTTATATTTCTGCAATAATTTCAGCTTTAACATGTTGTAATAGTTTTTATTTTTTTCATATTTCTTTCCAAGATCACGGTAACTAGGTTTTAGGTCTTTTGATAAAGCTTCTCCGAAAATTAACTTCTTCTTTACAATATCCGGAACTTGTACATTCTTCAATAGTACATTTACCTTAGTTGTAGGAGATTCATCTCTAGTATCAGCTTTTTTTTTTCCTTGTGGCTTAGTCTATTAATCCATCTTTATACCTAAATAATAAGGCATAAGTTGTTTGGTTGTAACCTTTGTTAGTAAACGATTCACAAAATGTTTTTCTCTATATTGCCCATTTCGAGTCTAAGGTCAATTTAATAATCATTGAACTGTACCAATGGATACAACTCTTATCCATGAATAATCTTAATTTTTCTATCATCTCTACCACATTAAATCGTGAACATTCTTTTTCAATCCATTGGCCATTGGATCCAGTTGTTATGGTTCTTGTGTATTTTGAAGTGGTTTGGATTTGAGTTTTCGATGGCAATGCCGCGGACTAGAGCACGCATTAGTACCAATCAATAAATAGGGCTGGTCTAATCTGACCATGAGAGAATCAAGGTGTTCATTCTGAAGAGGTGTATTTATTTTATTTAGGTTATTATTCTCGGCGGGATGTACGTGTTGAACTAGTTTGAGACTATGTGTCAGGTATTGAGAATCTTTAATACGAACAAAAGTAACGCCGTTTCTGTTGATAACGTCGGTCCCGATAATGACAGGTGTCCACATACATGACGCGGGTACAATCATAAAGTCTACATTTATTTTATTTATTTATTTATTTTAAGGACCACTAGCAGCTACTACATGTTTAAATGCCGAATATAAAACAATTAAATGGAAATAGGTTACATGTGTAGCTTTTTAAAGTGGCCACAACGATTACAATGTTTTAAAAATATATTAATATATAATTACAGCGAGAAAGATCTAAATAATAATAATAATAAGTAAAAATTGATACAAATTAAAAATCACAAAAAACAAACAAGTACTTAATAAAATTAAAATTAACAAATTCATGCATAAAAATCACTAAAAATATTCAAATCAATATAAATAGCTATTAAACATTTATAATTTATTTATTTGAATCTCTCAATAATTGTAGCGCCCGTTTACGAAATGTCATGGCAGAGTTACTAAAACTCTAGTATTATATTTCTAAACTCAATCGTGAATATAACGAATTCGCGAGCAGCAAAATCGTTATTACTAATCCCTTTTAACACACGATGAGTCGGTTTATGTGAACAAGAGAAATGTTTTAGAACATCTCCCGATATAAGGGACACGTTAAGAGCACTTCTGTCTATCAAAACATCCACAGGTATCTCTTGTATTACGGCGGTACTAATGTCGTTACAAGGTACGATTGTCTCTTTACCGCGGCCTGGTTTGACATAAATAGCCAAGAATGAATGAAAAAATGAAAATCAAAAATGTTTATTAACAAAAAACACAACATAATACAAAGAAATGTCCGGTGGTGCCCACACTAGGTATTCCTGTGTCGTGGGTACCAATTGATAGATTTACATTACATGTTTAATGTTGTCGCTCGGCAGAGAATATAAATTACATAACTATTTAAGATACATTGCATAATTTAAGTTACAAGTGTTCTTATGTTAGTGAAAAGGTGCTATACTAGGTGCAAGAAAAGTTCTTCGGTGGTATTGTAGGTTAATGAGGAGAGCCAAGGAATAATTTTTGTTTTGGCTTGTTTTAGGGAGCAATGTTTAATGTCACAAGCGTTAGCTACTTTATTATAAATAAAAGACTCAATGAAGGGACTGAAGCGTCTTGCAAAAGAAGTCTTAATTATGGGCAAGGGGAGCCTATAGTCCCGACGATTGAGTAAATTTTTAAAGTCTTTTGAAGAAACAGTTTTGTGTAACCAAATTCTCGGTAGTAAGGTTGGCATTCAAAGCTGCAGCTTTAACTTCCTCTTCTTCCACGAATAACAATGAGAACCATTAGTTCCTCGTTTAGGCCCTGAACGATACGTGGGCGCAACAGTGATCGACGAGCGTATTCAGCGTATGTTGGAAAGTTATCCGAAGTCGTATTCATAACATCGAATAGCATTTGAGCTTATTACATTTTTTCGGGCAGAGAGACTTAAATTCTTTTTTAACATTTGACCCTGATTGTTCGTTCGTCGACTTTTCCCCTTTCAGACAGTGAGCAACTCGCGATAAACATTCTAACTCCTCCCAACGATTAGATAACCTAGAGCGTTCAACTTCATCTCACCACACCTCATAGTAGTTATGCGACTTTACTTTATTTACAGCAAGAATTGCATCAGCAAGTGCCTGCGTCGCTGACTGGGTGTTGTCAAAGCGTTGAGGTTTCACGGTTTGGTCATTGCATCGGGGTTTGGGACGTACTCGCGGTATTTTCATCGATAGCATTTAACCTAGCCACAATCGACCCTAATGTCATCTTAATCGAACTGTCACGGTCACGAGAGCGAGAGAGCGACTTGTCACAGCGGCGGGAACGCGATTGAGAATGTCCTTGGTGGCGACGCGATTTAGTGCTTGTGGTGTCCCCTCCATTATTTCACGCGAACGTGACACACGCGGCATTACAAGCTTGATATTTAACGATTGTTTGATTTTAAATAATCGAAACTTTTATCAAAACAAAAAACGATATACGGATTTAGGTGAATCCCACTTCTAATTTTAGAATCGAGAACGGAAATAGATTTAAAAAAAACTAACTTTACAAATCACGATTATTTACCTCAATAATCTAATTTACATAACCAAAATTAACATAACATACAACCATCAACTATCAACACTATAATAAAATAAAATAGCGACTTGTGACTTAGCAGCTAAACCTCTGAAAATATGTACTTAAAGTCACTGATGTAGACGAAAACTTAGAAACGTAATATGTGAAAAACTATGAGAGATAAAATTATAATCTAAACACTAAAGCACTATGTAAAATATCCTTAACTCTATGGAAAATAAAATTGTTGAAAATTTTTGTGTTTAAACAGGAAATTGTTATAATGAATATAGTTGTAATTATAATAATAATATTTTTTTATTAAGAGTGTATCAACCCTAATTATGATGACTCACGGTTTTGTTTACTAAAATTCCAGATCGAATGTGGCTGGAATATAGGTCAGTATTGATCACAGTATTTCCCTGGGAGATGTATAAAGTCTCCCGGGTCACGGGTGTCTATTATATATCACAAGTTTTTATTTCTTATTTTTTCGAATCTATGCCCAATCGTTGCAGCAGCTCGTGCCCTTTCAAATGAACCCAAAGACGGGAGGTCTAGGACTAGGGAATAGTAAGTTAGGGTGAGGGGAGATGAGATAAAAAAATTTTCGGGGAAAGGGAATTCTGTTGGGCCGAATCGGTAAAGCAACTTGAGCCCTTTCTAATGAGACCAAACTCGGGGGTGCTGGGATAAGGGAATAGGAAGGAAGGGTGAGAGGGTGAGGTAAACTTTTTGCTGGGGGAAATGGAATTCTGTTCAGTCTGTAAATAAAACACAAATTGTTTAGTTGTACTTTATTCATGCTAAGTCTAATTTTTTTAAGATTAGCTTGCAGTTGCATTGGACTGCACAAACTTGCAGTTGAAGGAATTTGCATCCGCTGTCAAATTTTTTTTTTTTCAAACATTTTTTTCCAGTAACTTACCACATCTATGGAATCATTACAATCCATATCAGAAAGGAGACTTTGATTTCTCCATTCCTTGTCCAGCTCTTTTAAATCTACAGCAATGTGCGAATGAATGTATTTTTTCGCGATTTCGTAAAATGATGTAGGGTGCAAATCAATGGCATTTTTCGGGTTTAAAAAAAACGAATCATTGTGCACATCTTCGAATACAAATCGTTTCTTGATTTGTACGATCGCTTCAATATAAAACAATTTTGCTCACTGAAAAATTTTCTGAATTTCACTCTCTTTTTTCTTTTCGATCTGTGTTAACCCATTTGGGACCAACATTTAATAAGTGCAGAAGATAATTGAATGCAACTTTTATTTTTTGAAGGATATTAGGCTACAAAATAAAATTGTAAAAAAATCTGAAAAAAAGTAATTTTTATATGCAAAAAGAGGCGTCCTCATATGGGAACAATTTTATCATGCGGTATGAAAACTCTCAAAACTTATTTTTTTCTACACATGGGGTCTTCAAACATAATTTACACTGCCAGCAAGCTTTTGCGTGGCACGCGGTGTATCGTAACTGTTTTGCAAGTTTCTGAGGAAAATGACCACCGCTTTGCTGACTCGGTAAATTTGAAGGTGATGGACGGGCATTCTTCGGTGCATGGCGAAAATAATACCGGCCAAATTGGAGTTGATCCATTCGATCATCTTTTTGCGAACTCCTTATATGTAAGCGCCAGGCATTTGATATAAATACATCCAGCATGTACGTAAATAACACCCACCACCACTTCTTACCACGTAATGAGACCCGATAGAAAGAAACGGACTGGTCCTCTTGATCTACTCCACCCATACCATACCAGCGTTGTAATTTTTTTATTTTATTTTTATTTATTATTAGGTTTGCTAGCAGTTGTTACATTTTGAAGATACAATTTATTAATTTAAATACATATTACGTTCCAAATGTACAACTATAAAAGCAAACACGACATGTACGATTAATATATATATCCAGCCTCATCCACCATATTCGCCCGATGTTGCACCATCGGATTTCCACTTATTCCGAGCGCTGCAACACTTTTTAAGTGGCAAAACATTTGCAAATTTGGATGATATCCAAAATGCCATCTCTAGATATTTTGCCGAAAAACCAATTAATTTTTATCGATCAGGGATTAAAAATTTACTCACTAGATGGCAAAAGGTTATTGACAATGATGGGGAATACATCATTGATTAAAAATAAAGACTCGTTAAAAATGTATGTGTTTGTATTTAGCGTAAGAAAACGACATTACTTTCCGGTCCCCCTAATATATCCTGTTATGTGGTTCTAACTTGACAAAAATGTAAAAAATGATCGCATCGTATGAAAAATTAATTAATAATAATACAATTAAAATAAAATAAATAAAAATAGAATTAATAATAATACAATTACAAAAATCTAAATAAAGTTAAACGATTTCTTACAATTAAAATTTAAAATAAATTGGTTGTTTGGATTACAATATCATCAATTTAATAATGGGTTAACAATCACTCTAGTCAACACTTAGTCTAATCACAAAACACAACAACAAAAATTTATAATAATATCTTAAAACCACATTAATTAATGGCATACATTGATAACTAAAACAAATAAAACAATCCATAATTCAATCATAATTATATAATTTGTCGTTTATAATCTAATAAGTTATAGAATCAAAATAACATTGATCCATAAATCGAATTAAAAAAAATTGATTGTTATAACGTATAATTTTGTATGAATTAAAAATTTTATATTTGGACATCAATAAAGAGTTAGACGTTTTTAATTCTGTCTATAACTAGATATCGGAACTTTGGAAGGCTTACAATGTTATATCTATTGAATCGCTGAAGTCATTGAGCAATTTGGACATTCGAACAACTGCTGAGTAATTACCAAAAACTGTTTTCCGACGAGATGCGGAGAGAGGTTTTACTGGGGTAGGAGGGTATTTTGAAAAACATGTGGAATAACGACGTCCACCTTCTGGCGCCTGGTTGAACACCATCGCTTCACCTTGCCAAGAGGTTCCACACTATCAAAATTAGTCCCCATAGTAGGTACATACTCTGTTATCTAACCATCTTACAAATAATATTTTATTGTTTTTATCAAAACGATAATAATCATAATCGGCTCGATTCTTCTTCTTCATCTCTTTGACATTGGTTAGAGGTAGTGTCCGACCGGAGGTCTATTTTCTACCTAAGCCGAAGCCAATTAATCGGCAATCGCCACAATCTTCGACAGAAGCCGAAGCCGAAGGTTTATACATACTTTATAAGCTCTTAGTAATTTTTGTATTTTATTTATTTTACTTAGGAGCACCAACAGTACACATATGCAACATTTACACAAAATATAGCCAAAAGTATAGTCTTTATACGTACACCTATTACAGGTATTCACAGCATTGTCTAAAAAGTTTTTAACAACAACAACAACTTAATCTAATTAAATTAAATTATTTCTACAAAATAAAAAAACACTAATTAATAAAAACAACACATGAATTAAAAGTGAAAAGTTACAATTTAGAAAAATTTATACAAGGTTTGTCTGAATTTTGAATATGAATCGCGAAACATGTCCAAATCTGTTATCTCTTTGTTTAGTAAATTGTAAAGGTAATTTTGTTCAATATTGTCTACAAGTTACAATTAATATCATAGATTATTTCGAAACTTCAATATTGAAGGTTTATATTGCCTGTCTCATATGAAAGTGGATTCAAAGATGATAAAAAAACGTTTGTGATTTATTCCTGATTGTAGCAGTGCAAAATTCCCCGTCCTCATGCTTTCTGTGCATCTCAGTTTATGGTCTTGCTAACTTTGCGGGTATGGTACGTACGTGTCTTCTTCCCTCTTGAGTGTTAGAAACGAGTGGAAATAAATGAAATTATGTGCCGCTTCGAGAAATTTGGAATCCCATTAACAACAGCCTCTCATGCAGGTCGGATAGAGTGAGATAACTCCTAATAATCTCTGTTCGGCGACGTTCATTAGCAGCGCTGCTATGAATGGCAATATTAATTATGGTCTCTAGAAGAGCAGGTTGCGAGTCAACTAAAGGGGGCTGTCCAGGGCCAGTTCGAGGTTGTGTTGCAGCAGGATTGTTTTTCTGACGTTCAGTTTTCTCCAGTTTTTCTTTGGTTCGAATTTTTTTTGCACGCTTAGCAAAGGCTCTTTTTTTCTTTAAACATTTCTCTTCTTCTTTCAACTCTTTGCGTAGCTTTTTTATTTCATCGTGAACATCATCTTTGGCTATACTAATGTCCCTTACTTCAGTAAGAATATTTATTCTCTGTTGCAGTAGACCAATTTTCTTCATAAGAGTTTCTTGGTCCGGTTTGCTTGGAACATTTTTAGTGGTTCCGTAGACGGTGTCTCCGCAGTTTCCTTTACAGTATTCTGACTTTGCTCATCGTGGGTATCGCCCATCTTTCGTTTGACGGCAGTGCTTTCTTGTCCAGCGACTGCGACAACCGATTCCATAAGGCCTCTGCCTCGAATCTCGCGGGTAGCGGGACGGCGGCGGCGGCGGCGGCGGCGCGGGAGCGGCAGAATCTTACATGAGCGGTGCACTCCAGTCAAAATTAAATTAAAAACTAAAAGTGATTCATAAGACAGGACAAATACAATTTTAAGGTGAAAAGGGGGAGTGTGTTAAACAGTGACCGAATTCTTTTAGTTGAGTCGTCATGAATGTCAAACACGTCACTGTAAAATTTAGTAATATAAAAATATATATAAAAGCAATTTTTTGGTCTGCGCAACTAGTGCAGAAATGAATCTTATGTTCAACGCAGATTGCGATGCTGCACTGTTAGCAAATGGACTTTGTCATACGCCGTTTCTTATAGGAACATATACCGCAAATTTTCCTTTTTCTTATATTTTGACCTGTCGATACAGACTCATTTCTCGACGTTGACTGCACTTCGTCATAATCACCACCTTCAACATCAGTACGAATCCCTAATACATTTTGTATTTTCGTTTTTGTATGCGTGGGCATTGTAGGCATTTTCAGTCGTGTTTCGAGCCACGGTTTAACAAGTTGGGCATGCAATTCTTTCATATAATTACGACAGCTCATTATCTTTTGTCCCAGAGTTGACATATTATGGCAGTAAATTATGTAGCTATTGATACAAGCGATATTTAGCATGTCGTAGAAGATGCACATGGGTCACCGATTAGTTTTTCTTTTTAAATGACATGCTTCTCCATCAAATATCAGAAGGCATGGCCCCGCGCTTTTGTATCTAGCCAGATGGTTTAAAAATATATTGAAAAGTTCATTGGTCATGTACCCCTTTGATGATTTTTCTACCAATGATCCTGGTGGCAAGTTATCGTATAGTTCTGGCTTTAACCGTTTGCCCTTAAATATGATCATTGGCGGTATGGCAGTACCGAGTGCATTCACACATCCTGCAATTGTAACACTTCCAGCGTGTTCAGAAGACAGCAAATGAATCCTTTTTGCACCTTTTTTGGCCAAAACGCTTTGCTGGTGGTGAATTGTTAGACGGCATCCCTTCTCATCCATATTATAAATTCTTTCGGGATGACCATGTAAGTCAAGGTTCTCATAGATAGTCCTCAGTTTTGCGAAATGATCATCGACTATAAATCTATTAAGTTTTTGGGCTCGATACGGGTTCATAAATTGAGCTTTTCTCACTGATATTTCAGGGTTCCTTTTCAAGAACGCCTTGAACCAGTGTTTAAATTAAAATTGTGCTTTATTTCATTTTGCTCACAATATTTATACACCAATCGGCGCAGTATTCTCGGTATGACTGGCAAGCCTATTTCAGCGTATCTGATTATCCTTTTCACAAGTTCAGCTTCCTGTTCCGGACTCAATATAGGTTTACGACCCAAAGTTTTCTTTAAAATGCCAGCCTGCAGATGATTTCTGATTGTTCGTCTAGGAACTTTATATCTTTCCGCAGCCTTATACATACGTACTCAGAGTTCCTCTTTGTACTGCTCTAACAGCTGGGATGAGATCATCTTCTGACCATAATGCTCTTTTGAAAGGCATCGTGACCATAGGAACTGTAAATAGACATAAAAAGAATAAGTAGAATAGATAGGTATACCTATAAGTAAAATTAAAAATAATAATTTAACAATCAAAACGAATAAACTTAAATGCAATAATGCAATAAAAGTTGATTTCTTTTCTAAAACCAAAAACACGCAAAGTCAAGTCTATACCTACATCAGGAAGTAACCTTAACAAGGCTGTATAACAGTTGCTGTGAAAAAGATAGACAATAGACACTGGAAAAACATAACCCTATTTTTGCGGTCGAATAAAAATATGAGTAAGTATAATAAGGCCTACTGTTAAATTTTGAATTAACATGCAAATATACACCTACATACAATTAAAAAAACATAACATTCTTTTTTTTGCAGTCGAATAAAAATAAGAGTATGATAAGGCCTATTGAAAATTTTTGTAGGCCTTAATTTCCGCCGACCACGTGCGTAAAGAAAACGAAATAAATAAAAATCTGTGACTACCACGTCATTTAATTAGGTAATATAGGACAAGCATGCATTAACACACAAACACAAAGTCAATACAGGTAGATAAATGCAATATTTAAAGAATTACTTACATTTTATTGAAGGCAATTTTTATAATTTAATTTCTTTATAGTCCGCCGCCTCGCCGCGGTTTGTAGTCGCTCTATGCATGTGTGAGTGTAACATTGAGCGTCAACTCCTTTGTTTAGTGTGATTTTTGACATTTAGGCCTCATTACCCGACAGGCTTTAATACCCGCGGGTACCTTAGTCACTACTCGTAAAAGGTAAGCGGTGAATCTTTCCTTGTAAACAATCTTCACATTTGGGAACAGAATGCTGTTTTAATTTACTGTCATTTTTCTGCAAAACTTTCTTTACTTGATCGTAGTTTTGGTGCGCTAATTTTTGATGCCATGTGTTTAAGTCACTCGCTTCTGTTTTAGCAACGCTTACCATATTGCAATTAAATTGTAACTTTATAAAATAGCCATTACCAATTCGATTTGCGATTGCGCAAATCGAATTATCCCAATGATTTGTTGGTTGCCCTAAACTAGATAAAGCTCGTAAATTCTTGGTCACGTGATCTACTAAAAATCGTAACGAAACCTCAGACTCAGGACGGATCTGTTGAACGTTGAGTAAAGATTTTAGATGGTGGTTAATCAATAGCCGTTTATTGTTGTACCTCGAACATAAAAAGTCCACGCTTCCTAGTAATTTGATGAGGAAACCTCTAGATTTGAAATAATGGTTGACTCTCCTTCAAGGTAAGACGTTAAATAATGAATTTTATGAACGTCTGATATATGCTGATTATTATGAATTAAATTTAAAAATGTGTCGTGAAATTCAAGCCAGTGAAAATATACGCCGTAAAATTTGTGGCAATTTTAATTTTATTTTTAATGATCGAGACCAAATTGAGCATCTTGAGATACTGAGATACCTAAACTCATGTTTAATGTTGTCATATTTTTGTAAAATATTTTTTGCCTTACGGTATTCACGATGAAGTCCTGTTCAATATCGTCTTTCATCAACCTTCAAATTTACCTAGTTTTAATGATAATTCATCTAATTTTATTGCATACAACTGAGATTGTTGACTGATTTTATCTGGATAATTTTTAAACTTTGTGATTTGTCCCTTAATTGAACTACGCTTAGTGACCAGCTCTCTTAAGGTAAAATTGTTGGTTTTGCCAAAATCATATTATTAATAATTATTAGAATCAGTAATTTTTGAAGGATTGATTCGTGAGTGTTTAGTGAGGACTAAGTGTGAGGAAATTAGCTGCAATTAGCAATTAGCTGCTTTATATACCCACATATTATGTACATACATAAAACCGACCAGATGCGTTGTGACTACCGGATGTCATCATTACCGATTGCCTTGGTAGTTTTCCGATTTAAAAGCGCATGGCTTCACACATTTATTGGCATTCTTCCCGTATTTGTTGTTTATTTATTTATTTAAGACCCACCAGTGATAATTACATTAATACACTATTGGGTAAAAAGAAATACAGTGTAGCTTAATTCTAAATGCATTATCTTTTAAGCCAGATACAGCATGCAAATATGTATTAGGAAGTTTATACGGTTTGAGATATCTTTATTAATATTTGTCACAAGAATAAAGTTCACTAAGGAGAAAAATAAGGTACATAACGAACAAACATCACAGATTATAAATCATGTATAACATAATATTAAAAACGTATTGGTAAAAATTATTGGTAAAAATTATTAAAATTTCTATATAAAAATTAGGTTACAGGTGGTTCATTTTATTAAAAATTAGATCATTACCTATATTTTGTTTATGTAACCATATTTATTTAATTTATCGCTGAACAAAAACTTATAGCGAAATGTTTTGAGTGAGTCCCTAAAATAGCTTTTCCGTGTCTTCATACACTGTCCTGAAGGCAAGCCATTCATCGATGGCCCCGTCGAAGAATGGTAACTCGGTCACGTAAGCTGGCACTGGAGTCCCTCCCTTCGGTACGGATTGAATCGCCCGTATGATAGCTTCCGCCAGGTCCTTAGCTCCGGCGGGTTGCTGGTCTGGCTTGACCGCTGCGGACGACTGCGTTTGGATACACTCTTTCTCGGGAGTTTCCATAAGTTCCTTCGGGAACGCGTGGGCATCGTGCTCCTTCGGGGACACGGTATCGGCGGTCTCTTCTAGCCACTGACGGACGTCCGCCTCTTTATTCTGCGGGTCTTCAGCGTCCGTCCGGCCAGCTGTAATAACTCCAGCCTGGCTCTGGTCGCAGCGGACCTAGCTTGTGCTTCACGGAGCTCCTACTCCGCTAGCTCGGCTCGCATTTCGAGTTCCTTATGTTTTCTCGCTAGGTCGCTTTTCACGGAGGCTGCCCGACTTCGATTGGCCGTCCTAGTCTTGGAGTCATCATCTGGCCTTTTCGTCGTCTCCGTAATTGTTGTCTCGTAGCTTGTTGTAGTGGTCGTCGCTTCGGTCGTCGGCTCTGTTGACGACTCCATAGGTTCGTCCCGTTCCGGGGCGACTCGTAGTCTCGATGCGGGTCTCTCCGCTCTTATAGCGGCCGTCTCTTGTACCCGACGCTCCGAGGTCGCAGGAACGACTGGTGCCGATGCTTTGGCAGTACCGACGGGTGTCGACTCCCTCCTCTCTGAGCCCTTATCGCTCCTCGTCACTGGCATAGTGATGTATGAGAGCTTCTTCTAACGACGGTACGCCTCTTCTTGAACACTGGATCCGGCTCGAAGGACCAGCTATTGCGGTCGGGGTAATCCGCCGCTTGAGGGGTGGATCGGATCTTATTAATTCCTCCGAGAGTGGCAGTGGAGTAAAATCGATTTCAACAAATTAACATAAACATAATGCGCTCTGACAAGAGTCGCCTACGGTAGAGTCTCTTATATTTATACACATGTATTTTCTCTATAAATATTAATCTGATTTTCCTTAACATTTACATCTCTTATAACTCTAACTATTAAATATTAGTAGCTTCGTCGCCGACAGGTCTTGTAAGAGGATTAATAGTTTTGCGTGGATATCGAGAGGGAACATTAAATTTAATCTTAGATACTAAATCTGGATTATCATAGATATTGTTAAGGCTTTTATACAAAAACATCAAAACCAACAAATCTCTTCTTTGGCTCAAGCTATGTGTATTAAAAAATGCTAGCCTTTCATTATACGAAGAGAGTTCTTTAGCCTTGTGATACCAACATATGGGAATTTTTTTAAAGTTGGATTGTGATCTCTTTTGTGCTGTTGGGCTACGTCGTCTTCTTGAGCTTTTACTTGTTTTGTGAGCTCGTCTATTTGTTTCGCCATTGATTCAATGGTTGGCTGGGGAGCAGATGTTTATGCAACTTGAGGTGTGCACGGGACCAATTGAGATGGTCTCCGGTCTCCTAACTCTTCGTGAACAAGTAATTGCTTAACCTCTTTTTCGCGCGAGGCTGACAGACGTTTGATCAATTCTGACTTTAGTCTTTCGTACTTCCCTGTTTTTGGTGGTGAAATAATTATATTCACTTCTGATGCGTAACGGTGTTCCAATGTCGAAGTTACGTAATAAAATTTTGTATCGTCGTCAGTAATTCTAGACAGTACAAAATTGCCTTCCAATTGTGAAAACCAAACTGCAGGTTCTTCTGACCAGAATAGTGGTGGTCACACTCCGACTCGAAACATGTCGGTCGTGTAGTGAGGTGTACGCGGTCGTCGTGACTCGGCATTTACGTCCGAGTTACCTCCATTTTGTGGTTCCATTTTATTCCACCAAATAATCTAGTGTTCCTTACTTGTGCTGGGTAACTAATCCTCTTCGTTTTCAGCGGAGTCACCAACGTAGCGGAGTTGTGTTTGATGTTGAGAAAAACAAAGTTTCTTCCACTACTAATTTATTTCTTTTAGAACGTAGATAGGCTCAGCACAAAATAGAAATGAAATGAGGCTGCCGAGCCGATGCGCTTGCGTTTCTTTGTTTAAAGATTATTTAGAAAAGACATTTCTACCATAAGACCTCGCGGCGACCGCCTTTAGTCATTTACATGATTATTATATTTATTTAATTTATCATATGATATTAAAGGGCAAATATTCATAGTGTGTGTTACATGTACGTTATATATAAAGTAATAATTTTGTAACAAAATACATATAAGATAGTATATATATGTAATGGATGTCTATGCTAGTGACATCCCATTTCTATTGTTAATGCATTTTATAATCTGTCAGTGTGATCTTGAGAAAAACGTGGTTAAATATTCTGCTTACTATATTAGGTTAAAATATTGTTTAAAATAGAAATAGAGGCTTTAAATGTTGTTTTTGTATCTTCAGCTATATCATTTTGTTTTAATTTTTGTTTAATATGTAAATTGTAATAAAACCTGTGTGTAGTGTGACGATAATAAATAAATATTGTATTTTCAGAAAAACGCAGTTAAGTCTTTATTTCGTCAGAACACATACCATTATATATATATATATATATAAAGTTTTATTATATATGTCAGTTGTAGGTTGTAAGCTTAATTATATGTAAGTGTCGCGTTCGCCACAAGTGATTACGGAACAGACAATTACTTTTCATAAGAAATTTTATTTTCAATCAAACTATCTTTATTTTATTATATAAAATCCATATTATGTAAGAATATTATTTTAGTTATTAATATTTTATTTTGAGCTATGGCTTCATTATTGTTTATTATTTTTAACATGCTGAGTCCAATCAATTTGTATGTATAGACCGTAAATATGTAATTCAAATTATGATTTCGAAGTCAGTGGATGCAATGAAACCAAAATTTAAATGACCTAATTTTATTTTAAAACTTCATTACAATTAATTGTTTCGCCTATATTTCACGAAAGGTGGACAAATAGTGACAAAATAATATAAAAGAAATATAATACTTAAGTCTGTTCACACGTTTCACACACATATGTACAATTTATTTGTAATTGCTTATTTTGCAACGTTTGTTAATTATAATTATAATAATAGTGGCGGGGGTAGGTTAATGTTACTCCTATTTTAAGTATTTGTAAAAGGGACTGACTGAAAACCAGCGTTTCCCAGGGCCACTGTCCAGAGAAACATGCAGCTGAGACAGCTCCCATTGTCTGCGTCAGCATATTATGTATTATGTTTACTTTATTCTATCCCTATGTGTTTCAATGGTTACTATGTTTCTGACAATAAATGGATTTTATTATTATTATTATGTACATACATCAATTCACAGGAAAACTAATTGTATATAAAAAATAATCACAATAAAAAGATATAGTCTATTATAAATCATTTCACCTTATTCCTCTTATAAATAGGACATTCGGATTTCAATTGTTTTTTTTTATATAAAACTACATATAAGACTTATTAAAGTGAATGTAAATAATAATAATTAAATAATCTTTACAAATCTCTCGATGCTTCACAAACCTACTCGTGACATTAGATATTCAACTAAAGAAAATATTTTATATATTTATCACCATATTTCTAATATGATTTCGAATAATCTTTGAAAGTGAAATAACTTCAAAACACTAGAACTTCCCGGGGATTTGGCTTATTGAAAGAAGACTAATTCACAATAGTATCTAATTGTTTGTTTTATAAACATTTCAATTAATTAAGTGACATGATTCGGTAAAAGTGGAATCGCGTAAGAGAGCTGGAACTGAAAGGCTGTCGACAACAGAAAATTCAATTTGCAATATATTTTATCCTTCTATCTTCAAATTCAATCAATAGTTACAGTTTATTATTGAAAACATAAAAAAAAAACAAACAAAAAGAAAGTCTTGTCACTTTAAAAGTTGGCATGTAATTGTTACAAATTACTAATTATATTTTTCTTACCAAAGGAAGTAAATTGGAATCAGTTGTATGTTTGTAAGGAAATGATGGATTTTGTGGTATAATCAAAAACACTAAGTTAAGTTATCCATTTTCCAACACAATCCATAATTGCTTTGATTTTTGTATTTTATTGAAAATTTTGGCAAAAACCGTCACAATGTGGAGGGGCCGGCGGAAGAGAGAAGAAAAGGAAGACCCCGAACAAGTTGGGAGGAGGAAATTATTTACACGCCGGGACCAAACTGGATGCAAACTCAAGGGAAGATTGGCAAAATTTAGAGGAGGCCTTTACCTATAAAAATTGGTCTCACACTTTAGTATACAGGGTGACTGGTGAATTACTATCAATATTTAAGGAGCATACTCGGTACATGATTCTCATTCGAATTATGTAAAAAAAATAGGTACTTAATTTTTGACAAAATTTCCGTATAAATAAATAAAGTGTGTACACGTTCCAAGTGATCCAAGTGTGGACGCGTGCGGCGGCGTGCTGATACAACAACACGCCGCCGCGCGCGTATGTGTGAGTGTGTGTGTATACCTAATCTGTAGGGTGTTCATACGATGCGTAATTAATTACATAACTTTTGGTTAACTTTACTTAGAAGTTTATTAATATTTATGTTATATTAATTTTTATTTTGTCATATATGATCGTCAAATATCACGTCCTCAAATATCGATAGTAATTCACCAGTCACCCTGTATATATTCCAATTTTAATTAAGTACTAACACTAAAATTATTAATGATAGTAATAGAAATATTAACAAATAGCGATATATTATATACTCGTATTTACTATTAACAATCATTTATGTAATAGTCCAAATAAAAGAAATACAGGCATTTTATTTATTTATTTTATTGAAAATTTGTTTAATTTGTAGCATTCTAGCATAGTTTGGTTAAAAGTTCTTATATCCAAATTACTGCGCCTGCGTTTATCACGATTCTCAAAGTAATGATTTAACATTTTTTAACACAATTGCTTCTCATAAGACATTTTATTTGCAATCACACTATCTTTATATTATTACATAAAATCCATATCATGTGAGCATATTATACTATTTTACTTGTTATGTATGTATGCATAAACTGTACTGAAACAGTCTAACCAACTTGAATGTATAGACAGTAAATAAGTCGATTTATAATAAAACAAAAATTTAAATGACTTAATTTTATTTTTAAAACTAAATTACAATTAATTGTTTCGCCTTTATTTCAAGAAAGGTGAACAAATAGTGACACAATAATATAAAAGAAATATAATATTTAAGTCTGTTCACACACTTCACACACATATGTACATACATACATCAATTCACAGGAAAAATAATTATAAACAATAATCACAATAAAAAGATATAGTCTAAATAATTTCACCTAATTCCTCTTATAAATAACACATTCGGATTTAACTTTTTTTTTAAATATAAAATCACATACTAGACTTATTAAAGTGAATGTAAATTATAATTAAATAATCTTCACAAATCTCAAGATGCTTCACAAACCTACATTTGACATTTGATATTCAACTAAAAAAAAACTTTCATATCTTTTACCACCAAGTTGAACTTGCATATACAAGTTATAAATATATACATAGCCCTAAAAATATTGTAAAATCAAATAACATTGTATATATTTGTTATAATTCGTCGTTTGTTATATGACTATCTACATCTAATGATTTAGCTTTCACAATATCTTTATAATACTTGGCGGAGGCTCTCGGGCGGCGGGTGCGGGCTGGGTCGTTGAAGTCTACCTCGTATAAACCGAATTTGG